GACTACGGTGATTCTGTAACACACAAATTTAACATATTAAAGTAGCGCTCTTTATAACCAATGTTTTAAAACTGATTATTTTGCGAGTTTAATGCATTAAAACACAATAATCCGCAAATTACGCAGTTTCTTTAAAGAAAATATCCATGGAAATGGTATTATTATGTGTATTGAATTTTGCAATATCTAAAAATTATAAAAATAATTATACAATTTTTTGGAAAAGAATTTTCACAAGAATAAAATTTATAAACTTTTACTAATTTTTTTCTCTAATTATTATTTTTCGATCATTGAAATAAAACGATTCGTATTAATAGAAAAAAATAATTTTGCACAAATAAGAAATAATATTCACCGCAAAGTTGCTCCACCGGTGCCTGATTCCTCTCCTAGACCTTCTTCTGTCGGATTGTCCAGGCTTTTGTAGGACTTCTTTGATATGATAAACTCTGGGTTATTTTCTGAAACATTTGAATAAACGATTTGATTAAAACAGATAACAAATATTTTCTAATCTAATGTTATATAATACATATATTTGTATTTATACATATATACATATGGAATAAAAGAGTCATATACTATATATAATTTTATATATACATATACTATACGATATATACATAGGATGTACAGAACTTAAATGACCAAATTTCGGGAGTGTGTAAAGAATCGATAAACTAAAAAAAAGTCCTTCAGAGATATGCTAGCTTTTGTGAAATAAATTATAAAATGCTCACCTCGCAATTATTCCGTCTCCTTTCGATATCTCCTTGATGCCATGATCTTGTCCTTCTTCCTCCCTCGTTTCACAGCGATCGTTTCTTCAATGCCACTGACAAATCCGTTTGCGAAAACATGTTAGTTACAATTAAACGCACTAATCACTCGAATACAACGATCGCACGGCACTTTGTCGATATATACCGATGTTTATCGTGATCGCGCACTTAGGCCCAGTTCCACAACTAACGGTTAACTCATGGTTCAACTTATTCATTGTCTCTTTCCAATTTTAGAATTGGAAATAGATGAGGAACAAGTTGAACTTCGGTTAAGAGTTAAGCACGAATTGTGAAATTGGGCTTTAATCACGTAACGACAGCGTGAAAAAATAAGATCGCGCGAAACTACCGGCACGTTCGAAACTCACGACGACGCGAATAAAACATCAACGCATCTAAGATGGCGGAGGGTTGGAGGGAAACGTACAACAAGTGATAAGCGCGCGTGCACATGCAGCCAACTTCACGCGCTAAGAGTGACGCAGCGGTACTGCACCCAGCTACACCTGTTGCTCGTAACTTCGCGTTCATGCATTTCTCAAATTTTGGACAATAAATAATATACGCTTGTCTCTCGAATGACCACTATTATCTTACGTTATGTCATAAGTTAAATATGCGAGTCACAATTATAGACAAATATGTAATTATAATATAGACTGAAAATATAAACGACCTTTACAGAAATCGACCTAAGAAGAACAAAAAGTCAAAATAATATATGTCATTTTAACCGATTATTGACCGAATTTATGTTACTTTTTTCTTCATGATTCAATCAATATGACATTTTAATTTTTTAGTTTTCCTTAGGTAATTTAATATTGATAAATTTAATATTAAAAATTATTTATTTTTGGACATTTTAGAAGCACTATTGTTTAGTGCTTTTAATACTCAAAATAAGTAATTAAATACTACCTTCCAATAATAAATGTCTGTAAAAGAATTCCAAGGAACACACAAAAGTTAAAAAATAAAAATAACTTTATTTGGCTGCATAAAAGTCAAAATAATGATTTTTTTGTTACAAAATTTGACTGTTCGTTGAAAGTCAAAATACGTAATATTCGAAAACCAAGCAATGAGCCCCGAATTTATATGATAAAATATTACAGTGAGAAATAATCCAATTAGATTCATATGAATTTTGCTTATCGATTAAACGGATCGTGAAACTGCTCGCCCCGAAATCAGTAGAACACGCCACAACGTCAGCCTTGTATCATGAAGTACATTCAAATTAATGTTTAACAAATAAACTATTGATCAAAACTAAAATCTGCAATTGAAATTTAATATTACGTGCAGCAGAAACCGAAATATGATAACTCTTGCAATTTGCAAAAACACAATTAATATAAAATTAAATTAATAAATAACAAATCAGTGTATTATGCCTTGAACTATTTCGTTCTCTTTTACAATTTGTGTACTTATATTTTATGCTGCCAATTTAATGTTAATTTTTTCCAAAATTTTTCATATTTACTTTTATATCGCTTTAAATATTAATCATCTAAATTCTTTTGAAACTCTCAGCAGGAATTCTCTGAAGTTCTTTGTGAAACAGTTTGAATTTTTACTTAATTACAAATTACGTATAACTTAACATAAAAATTTTTCCGATTGAAAATCGCGAATAGACCGCAAGCTAATTATCGACATTATTTTTTTTTCTATACGTAAGCCATTACGTTTCATCGAAGATAATTCTTACGAGAGATTGGACGTATCGATAAATAACGATTAATTAAATGATGTCGACTATTGATTATTAGTTTGTTATAACAAAGTTCATTAAGTTTTCTACAATCCCAGTGACCGAAAAAGTAGTTAATGAAGTTATCAATTACGTTGAAAAATCCAATAATTGAAATGAATAATTGAACGAAATACATAGCGGTGTATTTCGCAAGGCATTCGGAGGTGGTATCCGATGCGCTTGACAGATAGCCGAAGCTTGTGTTGGCTTACACCAACACGATCCGATAGGGTGAAATGAAAACACATAAATCGTGAAATTCGCACTACCAAACACAGCGAGCAAATCGATGATCAGCAATATATTGCGATACATAATTTCTACGGCCGTGCAACACGAGTCGTATATAATTATTATCGCCCCACGCGCGATAATGAATATTCGGGATCGGCAAACGTGGCGAGAAATAAACTTGCAGGCGAGAATTGAGAACGAAGATAATGATCGTCCAACGTCGATGTTCGTTACTTTCTAAAAATGTTCCTCACTCCTCTCGCGGTGTGGGACGACGTAACGTTACGTCGTCAGAGGCTTAATCCGCCAGCGAGATCGTGGATTCTTATCAATGTCTTTCTACCGCGGCGGCCCAGGACACCGACGTTGTCGAACAAACAATAGGCAAGGCAGGAGAGCCACGTAACGTCGAGAGGCGCGAGAGAACGCGTCCTTCCGGCATTTTAATATTCCTCTCAGTGTTACACGCGTGTTTCCGCGTGCTTGTGCGCGGAACAATGCAACACATTGCCGACGTACGGTGGGATTAGATGAGAGGTGTGTGGTAATTAAGCGACACGCGCTCCCACGCCCTGGGACATTGGCTCGCTGCACAAGCTGCGAAACTGACACCTTAACTTATCGTACGCATCCGTCCTAGTCGAACGACATAACTCTGCATCGTTCCGTGATTAATTCCACTTATTATCCACGAAATCGTAGATGCGGCGCGACGTCGAATGATTTAACCTTCGATGTTACCGCGGCTTTCTCCATTGATCTTTCACCTTTCTGTTATGTGCAACATGTAGCTGCACACGAAATTTCATGGAAATTTTATATATATATATATATATTTCTATACTTTCCTCCGTTCTACTTTTCAATTGATTCTAAAAGCATCGATTAAACTTTGGATATATCTATTAATCATGCAGAATGCGCGTGATTAAAGCTGATATCAATATTGATTGAGATAAATATTTCTATAATATATACTAATGCAATTTACGTATAAATAAAAACCATTTTGATAAAGATACCAGATATCGCTTGGCCACGATGCTATTTTTATGACCTTTCAAGTGGATTGAGTTAGTAATACTGAAATGAGTATTATTAACTTACGCTTCATTCGCGTAATATAAAATAATGAGGCTAATAAACATCAGGGGTTACTTCACTCTGAAATGTCCGTAATGCGGTCTCGTCGGTAACAATAATCACAGTAGAATATCGCTTTGAAATAATGGAATAATACCGCAGCGATGAAACAGACGGGCGTCGCGGATAGATTTCGGCACGAGTTCGACGAAATTGTGTTGTGAGAAAAACGCCGTTTGCACAAATCACCGTTTAGAACATCGTTACTCAACGGCTTTGTTAGGAAACAATTTACGCAACTTAGAGTCAATGTAAATTATACCACTTACCTTCATGTCCTACCAACGCATTAAAATTCTATGATTTCTAAAATAATCTTCATTTGTTGTATAATATACAAAGTATCCCAAACTTTTTGACACGCCGCTTGTGAACAGATAGATTGGACTAAACTGAGTCGAAAAGTCTTCTGTCATTTTGCAATTTTCGCAATAATTAACGAGATATTAATTTCTAAAAATAAGCGGATAAAATCAAAACGTATAAGATTTAATTTTAAAAAATTACTATGATAGTAAAAGACTTTTCGACTCAGTTTAGTCCGCTCTATCTACCAACAAACGGTGTGTCAAAAAGTTTGGGACAGAAAATTTACTTACTCAATCATATTCGTATAAAAGATTTGGTATCAACAACTAGCGTCAAAGTAATTTTTTCAACCCAAATGGTATGCATCATTCGTGTAAAAAATTTGACATCAATAATTGGCGCCAAGTTAATCCCACATCGAATTAAATAAAGAATATAATCTGATTAGTACAAGCTTTAATTTTTATATGATGTAACCTAATTATATATCTTTGTATTCCTATTGAATGTAAGATCTTCCTATTCCAATCAATATTTAAATAGAAAATTTTTTTATATATAAAAACACTTGACGCTGATCGAATGAGAAAAATAAAGAAAAGTTTAAAAATTTTAACTACATAATTGATGAAAGTAATTAATAAGAAATAGTAATAAAAATCATTTTTAACAACAATTTCAATATAATAATGAATTTAATCTAAATGTTACACTGAAAATAAATAAAGTTTACTATTTAATTTTTGTTTATAACACAGGCCTTATAAATCTAAATTTATTATCTTAGACTTAAATCTAATCGCTTTCACATAATACAATTTTCATAATACAATGCAAACAATCGAAACTTTAATTCTAATTCCGCACGATTGTATGTCTCGCTTGCATACCGCGCTAGATATTTTATTCTCGTAATGTTTCTTATTTTTCTTATTCGGTTTAAAAAAAATGTTACATTCATGTTTTTACTACTATGTAATTATATTTCGATATCTAGCAGCGCCAAGCGTTTAGCTGCATTTTTCAATAGTTTTTATTGGATACAATATAAATACACGACATACAATATATGTACATGAATTATTTATATGAAACGGGCTTAAATTACAATTGCTTTTTTTATATCTCTTAAACACAAGTTTACAAAGTTGTTCATTAGGTGATAATAATGAATATTTATACACGTTCTAAGCAATCTTAATACTATCCTCTATAACAGGAATTGGTTCGATATCATCATTAATAATACCCAAATTAAATCTCCTGTGATAATGAAACGCAATACGTTGGATGCGATCCACCTTCTTCTGATTCATCTCTGAATTGATATCGCCTTGATACATAGGATTCATCGGGCCGAAATCAATCGCTTCAAATTGCTGAACGTCCTTTTCCTCCGCCAAAATCGGATTTGCTAAAAAGCATCCAACGAGCAGTCCGTAAAGCGCGTAAGTTCGCAACTCCGTCTGCAGCCACTCGATTCCGAGCTCCGCTAGAATCTTCTCATCTACATGCAATCGACAGAGTTCATTGATAAACTCATTATGATAGATTTTGATAAGACTCTCGAAACTCTTCTCAATTAGCGACGATTGCACGCTGCTATATATGAAGTAAAGAATGTCCGTGGATAACGAGGTATACCTGATTATCTGATAATCTACCATTTTTAGATCGATTATTTTGCCGTCATTGTCATGCAGGAAAAGCAAATTATTGATCCAAGGATCACCGTGGCAGATCGTATCGTATTTTTGCTTCGGCGACATAAACTGTTGACGTAACACGTCATAAGTTTTATTGAGGCAGACAAAATAATCTCTAACAATCTGCAATTCTTGCGTTCGTGGCTCTATCATACCTAAATATTGTATTATCGATTTCACACACATTTCGGTACACCTCCTCATTAACGATGTATCGGAATTGTCCTTGTATATTATTTCTTCCAGATGCATATTCAACTTGTCAAACTGCCGCGGATTATTGATTTTTATAGATAGACCCGACGCGTGTAACTTGGCAAGTCTCTGTGAGAATATAAAAAATATGTGCTATCAATTTAGATAAAATATTTGGGTGAAATTTAGACAAGCAAGAACATGTATTTGGACAAATATAAAAATATTTCTAAAAACTGATATAAAGCAAAAGAATTACATATTACATGTTGACAAATTTTTCGATAAATAAAGACAATTTTTGATAAAAATTTAAAATTAAATATCTTTCAGCAACAGTCTTATAAACAAACAATAAAAATATAGATAATATTAATAAAATATCATTTCGCTATTAATTTCTAAACTTTAAGATTTATCTCTGATAAGACTTATCTTCCCAACATGCAATAAAAATTAAGATATGAGAAAAGAAATTGCTATCTGATCAAATTTTTCTTAAAAAGATTTAATTTAGTTTAATAAAAAAATTCGAGATGTATCAGTATCAGTTATTTGTAATTGCGTGGATATAAAGGAGATAGGCAGCTTTTGAAATTCTTGTTGATATTATTTTCATGCATAAAAGTCTGACAAATGTGTATATATCATGTATAAATATCGTGTCATTAATCAAGTTAAACTGTGATATCAATCAATATCTGAAATTAATTTCTGGCTGGATTTACAGATATTACTAATCATATTGGTTAATAGTTATTAACGACTATCGCGATAAGATAAATGACGCTAAGATCTGATTATCATATGCTGCTGCTACTATTATTATTACTACTCTATCAATATGTCTAGCGCCACTTTTACTTGTCCCACGTCATCTGCAACAAAACTTTATAACCTTTAAAGTTTACTGTTTAAACAGTCAGTTAGAGTAATATCTTTATTTATTTCATTTTCTTTTGAGGAAAAATTACTCATTATCTCTCCTGATAATAAATTATCTAAGTATTGATTATCTAAGTATACTTTAGAAATGTGATTACATTCTAAAGAAAAAAAATCAAATAATTTGATGTTATACAGGGTGTCTTAAATTTTTTGATACGCCGCTTATGGGCAAGTAAAGTAGACTAAACTGAGTCGAAAAGTCTTTTACCATTTTGCAATTTTCGCATTTTTTTTTTAGTTACTTAATAAGCAGAATAATTTTAAATTAGATATCTTTAAGAATCCTTAAAAAACAAATCTTTAAGATATATTTTTCGTAAAAAACTCTAAAAAATATCTTAAAGTTGTTTATACGTCGATTTTACCAGCTTATTCGGCAATCTTTAAAAATTAATATCTCATTGACTATTGCAAAAATTGTAAAATGGTAGACTTTTCAACTCACGATCAGTTTAGTCCAGTCAGTTTAGTTTCTCACAAGCGGTGTGTCAAAAAGTTTAGAACATCTTATATAATTATGTTTCTAATCTATTGCATTTTATCTATACTGAGACAAGATAAGTAGTACATATTCCGGAATCCAATTGTTAACGTACCTTTAAGGCAAAGATAGAATGATCTAAACCCAGAAAGTTGCGCCTTTCGCAGGTGGCATATCCTTTTTCTGCCAAATCTTCCATTATTATAATATCCTGATCAGCATATATACATGGAGGACCAAAAGGTCCAAGCATGGGCAATATTTTTTTATACGCATCTGCCTCAATACGAAATAAATCGGAAAGGTCCAGTAATGTGGCGAGTTTCTTATCTCCAATAATCTTTGTCATAAAAGTCTTGGCATATGCTACACACATGGAAAGAGAAGAAACGTATCTATCTATGCATGCTGTATTTGTACTTTTTTTATTTGTTAAATGGTACAACGTAGCAAACTACTTTATAATTTCACAGTGTTGCTCCAGTCTGTCTACAAAATTTTATAGAAAAATCTTTTTTTTAACTTTTTCAAATTCTCTATTTTCTGCTTGAGTATCTAATTAAGTAGATACTCAAAAATCTTAGGTCCACTAAAGCAAAGTATGAATTAAATCAGTTGACAGTAATAGGATCAAAGATCAATTTTAATAAAGTTCTTTCAATAATTACAGTTTTCTCACTGCACTACTTACAAATATTTATATCCGTTACAAAGGTTTATTTTATGTACTAGATAAATATTTTTAACTCAAACAATATATTATAATAGAATTTCACAAAATTATTAATTTTGTAAAATTCTAATAACTCTAATAATTATTAATAAGTACAATAAACCTCCTCACTGTCAGATTCAGTTTATAATGATACAATTAAGATGAATTAATAAAATGCATTTTTCTATAGTATTTTTTAAATACAAACTAAGTCATTAAAATTTGTCTGTGAAATAACTTTTTAATAAAAAAAAGAAAAAAATAAAAGATGTGCTCTTCTCTCCAAATATTACACGTTACTCTAAATTAGTGGTAAACAAATAAACAGCATTGTTTTACTCCTCCTTTCTTCTTTATCAGGACACTATTGTGAAATGTTATGTAACGGAAAATTACTTCATTCTGTTGTAAAACATTATTGAATCTACCGATAATTTTCATTTCTTCTTGGTAATAACGTAAAATTAAAAATAAAAGCAACTAACGACTTCCGTCTCCGCGAGTACCAACGAGTTTCGTTCTGATCAACATCGACGTATAATTGTCGCCGGGTTTTGACCCTGGCCTGTCCACGGCCTGCAGAATCACCAACTTGTCATCGTTTTCATACTTTCTCAGATAAGCTTGATACTGTTTTGCCGTGTCTGAAAATTAAGTATGTCAAAATAATATTATCTGTGAAAAAATGTACAAACATTTCTAAAATTTCTATGTTCAAAGATTATATCAAAGACTATATATATCTAATAGAGATAAAATACAATGTTAAAGTGATTTTCACTAAACTGACACATGTATAAGTGTTTGTTCAATAACACTTAATTAATCTCACAGATATTACTTCATGATTACGATGCACAAATTAAATTGACCCTATTTCTTTGTAAAGTAATAAAATAAATCATAAATTGACTATAACATGTATTCTATCTATTAATAGTGAGACGTCGAAATTGATCCTAGAAATTATATAAGATTTGTGTCATTTAATTTTAATGCTTTTATAAATTACAATTACATTATTAAATTTCACTATATATTACAATTTTTTAATTAATTCCATATAAATAATATTTTTTTCAACAATAGCTTAATTAAGCTTTTAACTGCCAAAATATTTAATATAATTGATCACACACTCAAGGATTCTCGATGCAGTGTTTGCGAGAAGCAGATGCAAATATAGATTTTCGCTGTAGATGTGGAATAATTTTAAACCTAATGATTATCAGATCTCAAAGATCACGAGCTAAGCTATATATAAATTACACTTTCTAAATAATATATATAAAGTGATTAGCTAGTTTATCATAGTAAATCATAAATAATTTAAAACAAGTCCGTCATAATCTGAAAAAAGCTGTGACATAATTTGCGTAAGGAAATCAATTTCATTGAAAATTTTATTACAGACTTTTTGTTTAGCACTAAATTTATATTTAGCACTAAAATTCGCCTCATTATCTTAACTTTTTTTAAACATCAAATTTACATTGTATTAAACTGATTTATGATATACTAAAATACATTTTGTAACATCAATTAATTTTCTACGCGAGAAAAAATAAACATTGAACTTTGAACAGAAATATTAATTTCGATTACGTTTATATCAAAGAGATAATTTTGACAAGATCATGATATTAGACTTAAGTAAGATTACACGATAATTCTTTTTGATATTTTAAAACTTTAAAAATCCCTAAGTATACTTGATTTGATATATTTATTTTATCGTTTAATCAATAAAATGCCCTTGTTGACGTAACATAGTAACAGTAATCACCTGATATATTCAAATATCGCTGAGCTATAAAGATTTTTGCAAACGTCGTTGGAGTAAAGTTTTTATCACTGCTTTTAGCTTTTTAATGAAAAAGTTAAATTTTATTGTTAATAATTAATATTCAATGCAAAAATGATCTATTCATAAGGCTGAGGAAAAGTTACACAATTTATAACATTATCAATATTTTTAATTAGAAGATTAATATGTTATTTTACTAAAACTTATACAATTTATAAATTCAATAATGTTAATATAATTATTTTATTAAATTTATTAAATTTAATGGAATAATTTTTAATTATTATATAACGATTGAAATAACTTTTATGATTTTATAACAAATTCTTATCGTGAATTATTATAAATCATTGTTGTCACTTTCATCTTATTATAACTATATTTATTCCATCGCCGAAATCAAACATAATTAAAAGATAATAATTTAATCATTATTAAATAAAATTAAATAGTAAACAATAAAATTATAAAATGAATCTAATTTTGTATTGTATTTTAATCAAAAGTAAATCAATTTCAAAAAGAAATGGACAATATACGATAACGGATATTATTTCTTTGAGATTAAAGTACACGGTGGAAGAATAAGTTACACTAATTAAAAAATAATTTTTCTCAACGGTAAAACTGCAAAAGACTTTAATGCTATGGGGATCTTATTCGAAAATTTTACATACCTTCAGGAGACCGGACAACGGTGAACGTCCCATTCTCCATTATCACTTGAAGTGTACCACTTCACTGATCATAATAGTAAAGACCCTTCGTTATTATATACGGCTCACCAACTTGTGCTCGCACGACATCGGTCATCACAGAGGAACGAATTGCCCCGAAGTATGAGACGCCTCGTATCGTGTTCCGGAACGTTATGAACATTACGTAACATCGCACACGTTGCTTACGCACGATTGTGCAACTTACTCCAGTACAGATGAACTTGGTTTATTGCATTATATGTTCAATAAAGCGTCCTTGTCTTTTCGGAGTATGTCTTTGTTTTCGCTAAACGACATTATCTCTAACATTACTTGATAGCAGGATAAAACACGATTAAAGATTTACAAGAAAAAAAAGATGTCATGCACATGTCTGCCAAAGTAAGCCGAGCTTATATCCGAAGTATCATCGCACTTTTGTTTATTAACAAACTTAAAAAAGTAATCTTCGCTAATTTACCTATAATTCAGCTGAGAGATATACAGTGTTAATTATTTAGGCATCATAAATATTGACACTTTTCTGATAAAACAAATTAAAAAATTATTAACTTATTTTAATGCAATATCGTTAATATTATATCTTTACATAATTTTGATAAGTCAGCGTTTTAACACGAATACTTTTAGATATCAATATCGTATCTATTATATCAGTAATTATTCAAAAATATTTATTCATGATGTGTTAATTGCACCGTCACAGCTCTAGCTGCATAAGATTACGTGTATTAAATAATTAGAGAGAAAGTTCGTAAAAAAGATATTAAAATTAGTAAGAAGAAATATATGCAGATGTAGCATTATACAACACACGTTTATAACGTGCAGCTCACAAAGCATATTACGTTATAGAATCAATTATAGTATTAATAAAAATAACCACATGTCAATCATGTATAACTAAATAATTTATATTGTTTAATTATCAGTAAAGCCAAATCGAGCTATACAGGCTGTGACTAGTCAAGTAAAAATTAATTTTTAATATAAATTGTTAATTGTATCGAACTTTTAACATCGCACTTACCTTCACAGCTTGTTTTATAATAGATCCTTCGTAACAGCCAGTAGAAATAAAAGGAATATATAATGCAAACTAAACAAAAATTTTAAAATATAAAAATAATAAGGAAGTGAAACTGGAAAGGAAGTTTAGTGCGAAAAGTATCAATGTTTCTAAGTCAATACATGTTTGATAATATACTCATGTTCACATACAGGACAACCTTTATTACTTAATGCTTACTAGTCACAATATAATACTACGAATTATTACAATATTAATAATATTATCATAGTCATAATAGGTCATAATTTTTAATATATATGTGTATATTTATATGTATACTTATATGTGTATTTGTAATATAATTAATATACTTATCTATACCTTGTTGTTACATAATACACATTCCTCTCTCTTACATTATCACTTACCATATATAGATATAATGTGTATATAGATATAGATATATATTTATATATATATATATATATGCATATATATATACGTCATCAGGATGGTATAAATAATATTGTATTTCATAAAAGCACTTCTTGTTGCTTATAATATTATCGTTTTCATATTGTTTTTCTATCTCTGTTAATGCCTCTCTTTCTCAACTTCTCTTCATTCTCTCTCTCATTTCACATACTGCCTATCTTTCTTTTTTTAGCCTTTTACTTTCATTCTTACATGCACTCTTTTTCATTCTTTTCTTTCTCTCCCTCACTTTATTTCTTTCTCTTTTTTCATTTAGCACACACGCGCGTGCGTGCACGCGCGCACACGCACACTCTCTCTCTCTCTCTCTCGCTCTCTCATTTTCATCCACTTTTTCTTCCTCTCTCCAGGACGTCTAAAAAAAGTTTTTACTACCTACGCAAATTCCGCATTTATACTATCATTCAAGTTTCATTTGACTGCCTCACAAGTTCCACTGCTCTCCTCTTAGTCGATGGCCGACGTTTTTTTTTCCGTACGCGTAATTTTTCTTCGTCACTTACAGCTTCGGTTTGCATTCTTTTTTTTTTGGATTTTCCTGCAATTTATAAATTATGAAATTCGCCGCGGTTTTACGATATTAATGTTCCTGCTCTGCCTGGTCCACTAACATTCCTAGAAAAAATACTCTTCGCCCCGACGCTTTATTAACTACTACTTACGAACAGATGTTAAAATCCTTTGAGTGCTCTTTTTCTCTCTTTCTCATTTTTTTTTGCAGAATTTTTTTCTCTTAATTTCTTTCCTTTTAGAATTGTCCGTGTTTTCCCGTCGTCGGAACAACTTCGGGGAAGAATACGCATGAACAAAGGATCGAGAAGATGCGAGATTCTCGAATTCTTTGTCGAATATCATTCTCGATTCCAGAACTAGTTAAAATATTATAAAAATATATTTTAAATAAAAAACATCGCTGCAATGTTTTCCGAGAGTCATATTTCAAACACCGGGAAATTATTAGAAAATGTTTCGAGACATAAGATTCGTCGAGCATTCACACTTTAATTTTTAAAAAAAAGTGGCAGAAATAAAAAAAAAATAAAAAATCGTTTTATTTAGAATAGAAAAAGAAAGGGGAAAATAAAATATAATCCTGTTTAGAATATATATACGAATTAAGTGCATCTGATAATATATCGAGTTCTGGAATTCAGAATTGCGCTACAATCTTTTCAACAACGTTCTCATCGAATCATACGAGAGCACTCGCCGAGATTTCACACGTCAGTATGCATGTATAACATACTTGTTGAGTTTCTCGAGCGTAGTAACTAGATTACAACAATACAAAATATTATTCACCTAACACCGATGTCCAAGTGCAAGGATTAAAGTCTATAGCTCGTACACTGCGAGCAGTTACGATGCGCACGGAGTAGGACTTTGCGTGGGTATAATTCCATCGTGATGTGTGTATGCGTGAACAATAGAAAAGGAGAAAAGAGAGGTTAAAATAAGAATCGCGGGCAGCGAGACTTTCAGGACGAAGACGCAAACTTTCGTTGCGAGTTCTACTTTGCTGAACCCGAAGAAACACTTGGAAAGAGTAGGCGCGTTATAGGTTTTTTTTTTTTTATTATACTTGACAATACAAGCGGAACATACGAGAAGATCGAACCTCGTCATTCCTTCCACCTCTATTTTTATTCGATATTAAAATTCGTCATCACCACAGCGACTCGCGATCGCTTTCGTTTTTTATTTCTTTTTTTTTTTTTATTACACGACTCACACGACCGCCGCTTGCTCGTCGAGCGTTATAGCCGTCGACCGAAAACTTTCATTGATATGTCATGGGGAAAACTCGGCGGATATAAGACACACGGCTGAATGATAATTGAAGTATGTCGAAAAAATAAAAATGTCACATCTCGCATCTTCGTACACGAAGAGGATAATAAGAGACGAAACGTGTACGTGAAAGCGTTACTTTCGACAGCGGCACAGCCTCCGTTTTGGAATGATGGTACTCGATCGAAAGCTTCGAGGAAAACAACAAAAATTCCAAAGTACGAGAAGAAATGTAGACTTAGTAGGCCTCTTGAGTAAGAACTTTGATTTGGAAGCTCCTTACCTACGAAACTTTCGCCGCTTCTCCGACTAAAGGTCTCATCGTCCGAAACGAAGAGAATTGTACCACTTAAAAAATAATATCTCCGTGCAAATGTCCACGGTGCACTCGGTCTGCGCTTTCTCGCGTAACGCGAAATGCAAAGTCGAAAGTGGAAAATAACATTTGTCACGCGAGCTTTCACGTCGCGGAGCAAATCCGCGTCGCGATTCCGCCCCGTCGCGTCGCGAATTACTCTCCCTTACCGCCGATCGAACTTGAAATTTTCTTCAACACCCTGTTTGTAATCGCCGCGGAAATCTACATCGTCGCGACCATAGCGTTACAATCGATCGAAATACAGCGACGGTCGGTGGCTAATAAAAAACGACAATGTTTCTACAATCTGTCGATGCTTTTAATTATTAATTAATCTTTTGTTTTTTTTTTCTTTGTTTTTTGATAGTTGCTTGGCTTATCAGTTCTTTTCTTTTTTTTGTAAATGCGTCGAGGTAACGATTGCACTTGTAGTTCGGCTGCATCCAAATGAGAGACCCAACGCAGTTCTGGAAGAATGATAATTCTCGATCTGCTCATAATCTCCCTCTTATCATTCGATGATGTATGTTTGTGCTTAATCTTTTACATAGAGATACTTTATAACGTCGATTACTCTCTAATGTAAATATTTGTTTAATATCAGCTTATATGATTCATTACTAATAAGTATAATAAAATGAACTCTACGACTGATTTACTTCTTACTTTTTACAGGTACTTATTTTCTTATATATATATATATAAATGAGATAGTTAATTAATTATGAACAGATCGATCTCTTTAACCGAAGGTGGCTTTCGTAAAGCCAATGAATCTTACACTATTCATTTCCGAAAGGATCGTGTTGGCATAACAGCATTCTTTGCCCTCTTTTCGAGCTGAGCGAACATCAATTGACGAAATGATTTTAATTTCGGCTCGTGGATTATTATTTATATAAAGTGTAAAGAGAATCGATGTAACGAAACAATTCTCATAGAAAAAATTACGCGGCCCGTTTAATACGTATTAATATATTTCAAATGATATCAAATGAGAATCACATAGCTCCAGGTCCTTTGGAGGCCACCATGAAGGAAAAGTGAGAAGAGATTTGAAAGGGAGTACGTACAATTAAACGAAAATACTTTTGTACGAAGTTATATCGCGAAGCTCTCGACGGTCGCGGGACTTGAAACTCGAGCGTTTCGTCAGATCCAGATCTCCTCTGCGAACCGCAGATTTTCGCGTGATCAGGAATTATACGATCACCGTCGATGCTCGCGAGAAATCGCATCTTCCTCGATCCTGAACGGCGAATTCCGGAACAGCCTGTTAGCGGTCGGACTTGCCCACCGGTACGCATCGAATCTAATCACGGAGAGGCTCGCACGAAAATGACCGACCCTTTCCGGCTTTTCACTTTCGTTTCCTCCCTTGGCGATAATGCCCTTGCAACGGGCGTTCCTCTCGTCTTCCCGTTAAGTTGTCATCCGCCGATACACGACGGACGATAATCGCTTATTTAGAATACGGTTATCTCGATTTACTTAACGTTATCCA